ATCAGCGACTAGTCGACTTCGACTCGACTTTCATTACATAAAAGTCGACTTTACAAAATCAGAAGTCATTCAACCCCTAGTATGTGGTGATTTTTCAACAGTATCTGCTACTTTTGCTCCAAAGTATTGATTGATGTGACGGGCAAAGTGGAGGTATCCTTCATCCCAGGAACTAGATACATTGCTGTCAGTTTCTGATCTTGTACCCATATTACCCATGTTTTGCTGAGTTTGTGCAGTTTATCTACAAATAACACTTTTATTACCCATAACTCTTCGCTTTCTGCATCTAGACCTTCTGAGCCCATCATCTTGTGATACCTCTATATGAATTTGCTTTGCTGGATTTCTAGAGAATACAGAGTTAATGTGATTGGCCACATAACTGTAACTCTCCCCAAACTCTCCAGTGCGTCCCTCTCTCTCTCTGAACTCGTCTGGATGTTCTGGTTTGCAGTTCCTGTACTGCAGGCATCAACCCACCTTGCCCATAATCTACCACAAATGCCCACAAATACCTGTTTCTGCTTAAAGTACAAGTTTATGTGTCTGGAAAGACAATTAAAAGACTCTCCTAATCTCAGTCCAAGTAAGCACAGCTGAAAAGTAGTCCTGCTGTGCTGGTAAACTCCAGTGGGAGCTTTTGCTTTGAAAGTCTCTCTACTGGAGGTAGAGTATAATCGATACATCTGAAGGCCCAATACATTCTCATATTTCATATTACTGCTAATTGCCCCAAAAAGCCTGATAGTCTTCTTTGATCTATGAGACTTGAGAGGGATTCTCCTTGTAGACTGAGAGGAGCAGATACTCTGACATGACCTATGAGGCCTCCTGACAAGGTGAGAAACATTTCTGATGTTTGTGAGCAGATACTTCATCTTGTACAGCAATCGGAGCCGGTTTGACCCCAGGTGAGTGACCTGGATTTTGTCGAGGTACGCCAACAACAACAACAGAGACCAAGCAGATGATCTGAATGAGGAGTAAATGAGCTTTGGCAGCAGAATCAGAATCATGGAATGTCTAAGTAGCAAACAAAATTCAGCACAGAAGCATAGATATGCATTCATATTATCTGTCTTTGTGGTGTATATTTAAGAAAACGTGTCAGCTATTTGAACTTACTCCTCCTACAAACAGGAAAAACAATGAAGGTCGAAATCATGTTTAATAATGTAAACCATAGTGTTGATTTATGTTTGTACGCCCCCTCCTGGCCAATTATGGAGGATTTGTATACGTGTTAAATACAGGGGTGCACATAAGTTTTTCAGCCTGGTTCTCATAAGAGAACCTGGAGATTTGGTTTGGTCCTCACACTGCACATAATGTAACCGATTAAATACAACTATAAAAAAATTAATGAATCGTAGTGATAATATTGTTGCACTTTATTTATTTCGTTTTTTTTTAAATAAAATAATTAAATAATAAAGTGTGATAATACTATTATATTTTAAAATAAAAAGGGAGCATTAAATACAAATACAACTATTTTATAGTAATCTTAAAAATAAAATGCTAATATTTACTTCTTTTATTAAAGATGCATTTTCATCATTTTCAAACTTAAAATCATCAGGCTTTTATTTTGGCGGGTTGCCGGCAAGTAAGTATATGCGCTTCCTTTAATTCCAAACTGAATTAATCTATTCAGTTTGAATATAAATCTTATACAGTACAGTTTGTCGATCTAAAATGGTAGTTGTGCATTAACAGCTGTCAACCATGTTGGTACGCAAATGCGCTGTTAGAACTTATTTACACAGCACATTTTTTATTTTGGTCGCGCATGCGCACCTGCATACCACTTATGTGCACCCCTGGTTATATACACAATCTAATAAAATTAAATAATGACGTGCCAATAAATAAATCAATAATTTGTTCAATAAATGTCAAAAATACATCAGTGTTCAATAGACAAATGTAACTTCCATGTTATTCACTTAATGACATGTTTAATTATTTATTTATTGACACTTTCAATATTTATTAAGATGGTACTGCAAATCCTCCATAGTCATTTGCTTTAAAATTTGTACTTATGTTTTTCATTTATCAATATTGATTCATAAGCAAGTCTTCCAATAAAAGACATACCACCATGCAAATTACACACTAAATAAAGACTAAATAAAATGTTATTTTTAATTAGCTAATTTAATTAAGCCTTTTAACTCAACAATCTCTTTAGGGATTTTGCAGAGTGGATTTTATAAGCCATTCTGTGAATAAGAACAGAGTGACAATGCTCAGAACTCTGAAATTAGATACCAAGGTGTCAACAGTAGGTCAGAAAAATACCGTTTAGCACTTCCATGAACCTCCAGTACATATTTATAGTTGCCTGTTGGTCACATGGCGGACAGCGGAGAAGTGCAGTTATTTGCCACTTTTGCCTTTGCATCACATTGTGTACAGACAGTTCAATGTGACCATATCCATGTGCTTAGGCACAGTGAATCAACAAGTCCTCTATTTAAAATGCCAGACATAGGAAAAAAGTCATCAGCAGACCAAATGACTACTTTCTCTTTTGTAATTTCCAACGTATAAAATATTAAGTTTGTTAATATATTGTGAAAAGGCTGACCTTAATGCATACCATAAACAACTGAGAATTTAAATGCTACACAAACTTTAGTATCTATTCTCAGACCCATATTCACCATAATTTATAACTGAACTAATAATGAAATGAATATATTTTTTATAATACATAATATTATAGCTTGACGTTTTAAATGTTAAGTAATGATTACAACTTGTATCAGTAAAAAAAAAAAAACATTTTATTCTTCACTAAGACAAAAGGTCAAGTTAAGTTGAATTCAACAAAGCACGCTTAAACTTGAGGGTCACTTGTAGATCTTAAAGCCTTAGCAAATAAACGCAAGTTATTTTGTCTTATCTGTTGTGCTTTCTTTTTTCGGAACTTGATAAATAAATGTTCACTTTCCTTCCAAAAACACATATAGTGCTAGTTTTCTCTTGGATTACATCTTGTGGTGTTTACACTTGTTTCTGTTGTGGTTTTTAATCTCGCCCTACTCTTAAATTCAAATCCTCTTGGCTGGTGTAAAGGACTGCTGACAAACCCCTGACCATCCCTCATTAAAGCACAATCTGTCCTACTGCATCCTAACACTTGATGGTCAGTCAGGAGGCTTCTAAATTTAGAAAAAGTTCCCTTGGAGTTGTTCAAATTGTCAACACTCTGACTTATTTCTCTCCCAGCATGAGTAATTTATTGTATATACAGATATCACAGTGTTTATAAAGTAAACTTGTAGATCTTAATAAAAGATTATTCTGAGCACGCTGACATTACAGTTATATTTAGACAATTTTAAATATTAAATGCAAAAAACTTTAACAATAACAGCTGTAACTAACGATACATCCATTGACCTGGAAAATCTGTTTTAAAGCACTTTGTTCCTTATAATACTATTATATTTTAAAATAAAAAGGGAGCATTAAATACAAATACAACTATTTTATAGTAATCTTAAAAATAAAATGCTAATATTTACTTCTTTTATTAAAGATGCATTTTCATCATTTTCAAACTTAAAATCATCAGGCTTTTATTTTGGCGGGTTGCCGGCAAGTAAGTATATGCGCTTCCTTTAATTCCAAACTGAATTAATCTATTCAGTTTGAATATAAATCTTATACAGTACAGTTTGTCGATCTAAAATGGTAGTTGTGCATTAACAGCTGTCAACCATGTTGGTACGCAAATGCGCTGTTAGAACTTATTTACACAGCACATTTTTTATTTTGGTCGCGCATGCGCACCTGCATACCACTTATGTGCACCCCTGGTTATATACACAATCTAATAAAATTAAATAATGACGTGCCAATAAATAAATCAATAATTTGTTCAATAAATGTCAAAAATACATCAGTGTTCAATAGACAAATGTAACTTCCATGTTATTCACTTAATGACATGTTTAATTATTTATTTATTGACACTTTCAATATTTATTAAGATGGTACTGCAAATCCTCCATAGTCATTTGCTTTAAAATTTGTACTTATGTTTTTCATTTATCAATATTGATTCATAAGCAAGTCTTCCAATAAAAGACATACCACCATGCAAATTACACACTAAATAAAGACTAAATAAAATGTTATTTTTAATTAGCTAATTTAATTAAGCCTTTTAACTCAACAATCTCTTTAGGGATTTTGCAGAGTGGATTTTATAAGCCATTCTGTGAATAAGAACAGAGTGACAATGCTCAGAACTCTGAAATTAGATACCAAGGTGTCAACAGTAGGTCAGAAAAATACCGTTTAGCACTTCCATGAACCTCCAGTACATATTTATAGTTGCCTGTTGGTCACATGGCGGACAGCGGAGAAGTGCAGTTATTTGCCACTTTTGCCTTTGCATCACATTGTGTACAGACAGTTCAATGTGACCATATCCATGTGCTTAGGCACAGTGAATCAACAAGTCCTCTATTTAAAATGCCAGACATAGGAAAAAAGTCATCAGCAGACCAAATGACTACTTTCTCTTTTGTAATTTCCAACGTATAAAATATTAAGTTTGTTAATATATTGTGAAAAGGCTGACCTTAATGCATACCATAAACAACTGAGAATTTAAATGCTACACAAACTTTAGTATCTATTCTCAGACCCATATTCACCATAATTTATAACTGAACTAATAATGAAATGAATATATTTTTTATAATACATAATATTATAGCTTGACGTTTTAAATGTTAAGTAATGATTACAACTTGTATCAGTAAAAAAAAAAAAACATTTTATTCTTCACTAAGACAAAAGGTCAAGTTAAGTTGAATTCAACAAAGCACGCTTAAACTTGAGGGTCACTTGTAGATCTTAAAGCCTTAGCAAATAAACGCAAGTTATTTTGTCTTATCTGTTGTGCTTTCTTTTTTCGGAACTTGATAAATAAATGTTCACTTTCCTTCCAAAAACACATATAGTGCTAGTTTTCTCTTGGATTACATCTTGTGGTGTTTACACTTGTTTCTGTTGTGGTTTTTAATCTCGCCCTACTCTTAAATTCAAATCCTCTTGGCTGGTGTAAAGGACTGCTGACAAACCCCTGACCATCCCTCATTAAAGCACAATCTGTCCTACTGCATCCTAACACTTGATGGTCAGTCAGGAGGCTTCTAAATTTAGAAAAAGTTCCCTTGGAGTTGTTCAAATTGTCAACACTCTGACTTATTTCTCTCCCAGCATGAGTAATTTATTGTATATACAGATATCACAGTGTTTATAAAGTAAACTTGTAGATCTTAATAAAAGATTATTCTGAGCACGCTGACATTACAGTTATATTTAGACAATTTTAAATATTAAATGCAAAAAACTTTAACAATAACAGCTGTAACTAACGATACATCCATTGACCTGGAAAATCTGTTTTAAAGCACTTTGTTCCTTATGTCTCTTTTTTAGCACAGCGTCCAGTGGTGCAGCCCTCTCTGCCGGTCCACTTCAGTCTGTTTCTTGCAAACACCCCATAGGCTCGGTCCATTATAGGCCTGACCAGTGGGAGAGAGATGAACGTGCCAAGCCAACCCAAACCCACTGCACTGTACATCACTGTGAAAGCTGGAACTCCACGATGAATCTGCCCTCAGAAGAATAAAGTCACATTGAGGAATAATGAGTTATATATTTAATCAGTTGTTTCTTGAATTTAAAAACCATCGAAATGTTTCAGAATATTTTAGACTGAGGAAACCCACTGAGAACTCATGAAAAAAGTCAAAAGAATCAAAGGGGAAAAAAATGCATAAAATTTATATTATTTTATAGATATTTTTAAGAATCTTGGTAACCATTTTCTTTCCCAACATTCTTCAAAATATCTTCCTTTATGTTCAACAGAAGAAAGGCAGTCATATAGGCCTCAAACGAAATGAAATGAGGGTGAGTATATGATTTCATTATTGGGTGGACTTAAGTGCTTTTGGGACTTGCCACATTATAAAAAAAGAAGAAAAAAAAGACCACTCACCGTGTTCTTCTCATCAATTACCGTCATTTCCTCCATTGCCATCTCACAACTGACTCCATATTTGCTCCCATCATACACTGGCAGTGAGATGTCCACAAAATCTACTTTTTCCGTTCTATTTCTCTCAAGAAACTGAAGAAAGCTAATTTCTTGAACACATATTGGGCATTCTCCATCATACAGCACCTATGACACAAAATCAACATGACACTTATGCCTGGGTGGAAAGCTCACTAGGGTTAAATGATATTTATTCTATGATGTGTACAAGCTCGAGAGAGTACACTCCAAGTCTATATATGCGTGCAAAATATTTATTTGACTATCCTGGGCGTAAGAACAATGCCACTGTAATTAGTTTAAGGATCTAAGAGAGAAGCGAGTTCTCACCCTTATAGTGTCAGAAGATCCTTGTCCTGTCTTTTGAGAGCAGAACAGTCGTTGTGCACTAACTACACTCGTCCTGGAGCCGATATAACGTAAAGCTCCAACCAAAGGTAATCTTAATGCCATTTTAGTCGTATGAACTGATTTGATTAAGCGAAAGCAGCATTTAAAATATCTATCTTCCACTGAATAAAAAAATAAATATTTAATCCAACACAACCTCGACTGGACATCCCAATCTTTATTTTAAATAATGTTTTTATACAAATAATAAAAAAGATCCATCCTCTGACATTGATAGGAGCAAGTTCATACCTTTACTTTCCCTTGCTCGATGCAACTCATGTTTTCAGCTTCTCTGGACAAATTTACCATAAAATGAAATACATTTCCATGAATAGTAATAAATACACAAAATACAACAAAATATATCATTTCATCAAGCCACGCTTTTATTTCTCTTGGGTATAAATTGTACAAACAATAGTGTAGATCAAATTAGCAACATCTTAATGTGACCCAGTCCCTGATTTCCATCTACATCGTCAATTCCTGTAAAGAAAAAAGGCAAAAAGATGAATTGAGTAATATTGCTTGATACCATGACACCACATTTAAAGCCTGAGATCTTCTCAGAACAAATGAACTGGCTTCAGGACAAATTCAGAAGAACGAAAGTCAAATGTTAATTCATCACAAAAGAATTTTGAAATTCTATCAATTAAAAAAAACAACAGAAAATCAGTTTAACTCACCATAATAGCATTGACAATGTCGTTATTGTTATTCTTCAGTGCGCGCACAGCCTTTGCCCTGGATACATTGGCCTGTGACATGACCAGCTCGATGTCCTTGACCTCCACTCCAGTCTCATCAACCTGCAAATGGTAAAGCAAATCACTCACGACTGTGGACATTTACTTTTCACATTTGTTGAACATAACAGAAGACCTTTCATGAAAGCATGTTCAGTATTATTCTGTGCTAGAATCACAACAGTGTTAACAGTCACCTCTTCCTCTTCGCTCTCCTCCTGTACTGTGGGCGTCTGTGTGTTTTCCTGGATGTTTGAAACGGCTTCTCCTTGAACCTTGAACTTCTCTGCAGCTGCTAACTGGGCTTGCTGGGACAGATCTTCAATCTAAGAGGAGCAGAAACCATCAGGATTTTAGTTTGTTTTGTAGGCTTGTTCTTCATTTACACCACTGTGAAAGTTTCCTCTCTCAGGACAGAAAGTTTGGCTTCATCAGACTCAGAAGAACGAAAGTCAAACTGTTTCAATCATCATCAAGAGGTCACTTTGGTCCAGATCACCAGGCAAGGTTGCCATGTAGAATTAGTTGTCAACCAAAACATGGCTGAGATAGGAGGAGTGCACACCAACCTTAAATAAGAAAGCAGTTTTTTTCTGATCTTTACCTTGGCCTCACCGAAGACAATGTAAGTATCTGAAGCTGGACTTTTGTAGACATCTGGTTTGGTAATGACAAAGAGAATGTTCTTAGACTTGCGAATGGTTACTCTAGTAACACCAGCAACTTGTCTCAACCCCAATTTGGACATGGCCTGGCAAAGGGAAGAAAGGGTACAGTTTAACAATACTGCATTAATTCTAATTGAATTTGGTGTTAAAGTTAGATTCATTCAGTTCCTGAGGATGACCTACCTTCCTGGCTTTCTTCTCACTCCTGCTTTGTTTTGCTTTGCTGACAGGTTCCTCATCGATTTCAGCTGCAGCTGCAAGCTGTGGAAAGGGAATGCAATTTCAGTTCATGCCAATGTAAAACTGAAAAAGAAATGGTGAGAGAAAATGAAGTGGAGGGAAAAATAATGCTTTTTGTATGCGAAGATCAAAAAGAACCTTACCTGTGCCTGCTGTGTTTGTGTCTGTGCAGAGTCCTGCTCCTCCAGTTCAGGAACCGATTCGTCACTGTCAGATTCAGTGCCAGACCCTAAAACACCCAGACACATTAAATTAATTTGCCATTAGACATAGATTTTCACCAAAAATCCTGTTAGAATAATCAAAATCTTCAAATGCAATGGAGAAATGGGTGAATTCGTTTAACAGTGTTTAAATGGCACAAATACTTTTATATACTTTACATAAGCCTCAAAATGGAAGCAAAAGTAAATTGCCATTATACTTACAAGTCTGAACAAATTCACATTGATAAACTCAAAAAACATTCAGCTGTTGGCCCAATATTCTTCGAGCAACTTCCCGAAAAGCATCCAACTGAAGCTTTAATTTCACTCAAAGACTAAAGAAAGGTGATTTTCAGACCATAAAGTTACCAGGCTTACTTTCACTGATGGAGTGACGCTAAAATTATTTTTTTGGGGTATACATGCTTATACCAGCATAAGCATAGAAGGCAAAAACAGACAGAAAGAGATACCCTTGTTGTTCTTGATGACTGGTTCCAGTATTGATGGGGCTTTAACTGGCTTGGGAACAGGGACTTTAGGGACAAGGACAGGTTCAGCTTTAGGGGCGGCCTCGACTTTAGGGGCAGCAGCCTCAACTTTGGGAGCAGGGGTAGGCTTAACTTTAGGGGCAGGAGCCGACTTAACTTTAGGAGCCGCAGCCTCAACTTTGGGAGCAGTGGTAGGCTTAACTTTAGGAGCAGCGGCAAACTCAGCTTTAGGAGCAGGAGCAGGGTTAAATTTAGGGGCAGGCTCAGGCTCGACTTTAGGGGCAGGAGCAGCCTCAACTTTAGCAGCCACCACCACCTCAGCTTTAGGAGCAGCAACAGGCTTAACTTTAGCGGCAGGGGCAGCCTCAGCTTTAGGAGCAGCAACAGGCTTAACTTTAATGGCAGGAGCAGCCACAACCTTAGAGGTAGGGACAGAGTCAGCTTTAGGGGCAGCCTCAACCTTAGTGACAGGAACAGGCTCGGCTTTAGGGCTGGGGGCAGACTTAACTTTAGGTGCAGGAGTAGCCTCTACCTTAGGGGAAGCCTCAGCTTTAGGAGCAGCAGCAGGCTTAACTATAGTGGCAGGAGCAGCCTCAACTTTAGGGGCAGGAACAGACCCAACCTTAGTGACAGGAACAGGCTCGGCTTTAGGGCTGGGGGCAGACTTAACTTTAGGTGCAGGAGTAGCCTCTACCTTAGGGGAAGCCTCAGCTTTAGGAGCAGCAGCAGGCTTAACTATAGTGGCAGGAGCAGCCTCAACTTTAGGGGCAGGAACAGACTCCGCTTTAGGGGCAGCCTCAACCATAGGGGCAGAAACAGGCTCAGCTTTAGGGCTAGGGGAAGACTTATCTTTAGGTGCAGGAGTAGCCTCTACCTTAGGGGAAGCCTCAGCTTTAGGAGCAGCAGCAGGCTTAACTATAGCGGCAGGAGCAGCCTCAACTTTAGGGGCAGGAACAGACTCAGCTTTAGGAGCATCCTCAACAATAGGGGCAGCCTGAGCTTTAGGTTTAGGAACAGCCTCAGTCTTAGGGGCAGAAGCAACTGCAACTTTAAGGGTAGGATTAGGCTCATCTTTAGGGGTGAGAATAGGGTCAACTTTAGATGCAGTTTTTTCCCCAATTTTTGGGGCAGGTGCTGCTTTCTGTTCAACCTTAGGAGCTGGCTTAGTTTTAGGAGCAGCCTTAGCTTTAGGGGCAGGGCCAGATTCAACTTTACTGGTAGAGCCAGCTTCTGCTTTGGGAGCTGTTGGGGTAACTACAGGCATTGCACTAGGTGGCATGGGGGGGAAAGTAGGCATTGTAAAAGGATTCTCAGGTGGTAAGAGAGGTGGGAGATCATCATCCTCAAACGCTGCAGGAGCAGATTTTGGGGGAGCAGCAGTGGCTGAGTTCACATTTGGCACTTGGGCAGAGCCAGGCTTGGCAGCTGCTTTTGAAGGCGAAAGAGTCTTGACTTCTGAAACAACATGGGTTGCTACTTTTGGAGCTTCAGAGGCTACCTTGGGGGCTTCAGCCACTTTGGGCGGACTGGTGGCCACAGCTTCTGTAAATGACTTTGGTGCTGGGGCAGCAGATTTAGAAGTTACTTTAAAGGCAACAGGAGCCACAGCAACTTTGGGAGAGACGGGGGAAGCATTTCCATCTCCTGCTGGTTTAGCTTCCTCTTGTAATGGTAAAGCAAGAGACGGCAGAGCTGCAACTGGTGCAGGCTCCTGAGCAGGCTTAGAGGCAGAGGGAGGTGCTTGCTCAGGTTCAGCAGGTTTAAAATTCTTTGCTTTCTGTTGCTTCCCTTGTTTGCCAGCCTTTATCACCTTGGGAGCAGTCTGCTCAGCTTTCCCAGCTACAGAAGAGACAGCTGGAGGAGAGGCCAAAGGGGAGCATGGGGGGCTAGCACGAGGGCCAGAGGCAGATTTGGGAGAGGTTGGGGAGCTTGAGGAGGCAGACAGAGAGGAGCGTTTCCTGCGTTCAGCAGGAATTGGCTTAGGAGCGGTGGTGTGAGGAGAAGAGGACAGCTTGGGGTTAGTTTTGCCTTCTTTAGGCTTTGCCTGAGAGGGAGGAGGAGCCGCAGCAGCAGGCGTGGCTAATGGAAATAAAAGGGCTAGAGTGAATTTTCTTGGCAATTAAAAAGTGGCATGGTGTAAACCATCACATCCATGCTGGTTGCTGTCAATTGGACAAATGTGTTAAACAAAAGACACAAAGGACAACTAGCTACTAAATCAAACCAAACACACCTTGATTATCGGGTTAGGAATTGTAAGGCTTTGTAAAAACACCACTCAACTCCACATGCGTGAACCAGACAGGTATTGGCAATGAACTACAGTATTCAAAAACATCTGTACTAAACGAACATTGTTCAAAGATTAACACAATCTCTGGCACATTTGAAGTCCAAGGGAACTGGAACTTGCTACCCACTTCAGTATTGTGATCCAGACTTTATATGCAATACATTATGGTAAATTAGACCTAAAGAAAAATTACTAAAATGTAACATTGCCTATTCAGACAGCAATAAAGTTTCTACAAAACAATAGTGAAAAGCCCTCAAAGGCACATGTAATAGACAAATGGCATTTTGTTTAAAATATTTAAAAAGTGGTATATTGCTTCTACAGTACATGATCCCAATTAAAAACAACTTGAAACACAAAGTACATATTGTGAAATAATGATCACAGAGCAATATAAACCTGGTTAAAAACACTATCCTTCTGGGTCAATGTGTGAGCATGAGATTGGTTAGGACTTATGTGCATTTAAAATTTGCCACGTTACTGGTTACAATTATGAACTGTAATTCCATGATCAGTATCGGGAAATTATCAATAATAGGTCACAAGACGCACTTCTAACTTTCATTTAAAAAAAGTAGCAAAAAAGCATGGTAGCCGTAAATTGATGACATGTTTAAATATTTAGATTAGGAATAGGGCTGCACGATTAGTCGAATGCGATTGTCATGCGCATTTTGTTAGTAAAGCCGGTTCTGTAATCAGCAGAAAATCATCATCACGTGCTTTCAGATGGAGCAGATCGCGATCTCGATTCCATTTTGATTTATCGTGCAGCCCTAATTAGGAATGTGCTGACAATCTCATATCAGACGTTCCTCTCGTTGATAGCAGAGGAGTGGATCCAGCGAGAGCTTGATGGGGTGACATCAAAAAGTTTTTTTTAGGAGTCGTGGTAGTAGAGGCGGCGCAACATGTGAATAATCCCGCCCACTCTAACGCGGTACTGAACTGCAGTGGAAACGCAAACCGAGCCGAACCGTGCCGTGCCGTACTGAGCCATACCGAGCCGAGTCGTACCACGCAGTGGAAAAGCACCATTTGTGCCATGCAGTGCCCAAGTTCCAAATTCAACTAAACTTCAAAAACAGTAGTCAGGATATCAAGAAATGTGAAATATATTCATTCCTCATATTGTCATAAGCACAGTTTACCAAAGTACTATCCATGATATTTAGTGTTCCATATCTATGACTAAATGTGCCCAATATTTGACCAAGATTTGCATGCTTACTCAAATTTTCATAACAAAATTACTAATTTTGTTACTCTAACACTTAACTTTCAACATTTACATTGTGAAAAAATGACCCAAAAAGCTTGTACATCAAGATATATACAGAAAAGCTTGTTTTCCTCAAAATCAGAATCATTTGGAGACTTAACTTTGTAAACATGTTAAATTGCATGATTCTCTTCACGAAGATCACAAAGGTTTGCAAAAACATTCCTGAACACAATAAATCTCAGTAAAAAATAAACCCTTGTTATAAATGTCTTACAGCTATTCAGGTTGTAATCACTCAAATTCAGTGAAATGTTAGGAAAATGTTCATGCAGAGTGGCACTGTCCAAATTCCACGCACAAAGATTTAAGGATGCATGTGCTTTTAATATCACAACTCAATTTAGTGTAATATTAATCAGTACAGGCAAACACACTGTTGGGCAAGGCAGTCCTGGATCGATTGTTTTTCAGAACCAAATGTTGTCATTACCTCATAACCAATGTAAATTATGAAATCACAAAACTACACTGTAGGTATGACTTGCTGCTTAAAGAGTTAATTCAACTGTCATAAGACATTTTATTAGTCTATACAATAAAAGTCAAAAAGATTCTCCAAAAAATCATCTGTGTTCCCACGAAAGAAATTCACACAGGTTTAGATTAGGGGTGTGCACAAATAGTCGATTTGTAATTATTATTCGAAAAATAAAAACACTATTCGAATTTTACTACGTGCTGCGTTGCTGGCTGTAAAAGCAGGGAATCCATGATAAATCCTAAGCACGCAAACTAAGGGTGTATTCACACCTGTCTTGTTTGGTTCGATTGAATCGAACTCATGTTCATTTCCCCCCTTGGTGATCTTCTGGGCAGGTGTGAATACAGCAATCGCTCGCACTCGGGTGCGGACCAAACAACCGCACCGAGACCCAGCTGAAGAGGTCTGGTTCCAAACGAACTCTGGTACGCTCGAGAATATCGGTCCAATGAATGGATGACCTTAGCACACGTGTGGTTTTGTTTACAATTTCTGGTTCACTTGCAAAAAGGGCAGTGTGAAAGCAAACCACACCAAAAAAAAAAAAAATCAACATTGTATTTGGTCCGGACCAAAGCAAGTGAACTAGCGGACTTTCCTGGTGTGAATACACCCTAAAAGTCAGTTATAAATAAATGCACTGGGTGGCGCTGTGGAGCGTGTTAAGTTGATTGTATTTGATCACAGAATGTCACCTCCTGTATTAATCAGTGAAACTGAGTTATCATAATATCACCATCACAATGAGAAATCACGTGAAACCCAAACACCAGTTGACTGAGGAAAGACAGCTGTCCATCACTGCATTCACGACTGCAGGTAAGCACAGCTGTACCCCGAGTGAGCCGAGAAGAGAGCTTATATGATAGCGAAATGATCTTGAGATATATGCTTCCTTTAAGTTTCCTCGAGGGAGATTGGTTTAAGAACAGAAAACAAAGCGCTGTAAGAAACTTTGCTTAGCACACTATTATCTTTGTGTCTCTCTGGAACGTCTGTGTCGGCGCGCGTTCTTATTGTTATCAGTCTGAGAAGCCACCTTTCACCCGAGCATGTGGATATTATATGTTTCTGTTCTTTATATATATAGTTTACACACATTTTCAACTAAAAGAAAAACTTGAGATATAACGTAACAACGTTGTAGAACATTGTTGTCTATAATGCCTAATCATAAGCTTGTTCAGAAATGGTGACAAAAACTTGATTATTAAAAAATTAGCTCTCTCATTAAACAATTTAAATAAACGCATACTTGAATATTCGCTTTTTATGAGCCCAAATATTCCAATACAATATTTTTGAAAAATGCCCATCCCTAGTTTGGATCAACACAAAATGTTGCCGAACTAGTGCAGTTTTTAATCCAGGGAGGGGCTCAAGAACATTAACCTAAAAACCTCTAGGTGGAGAAATCTGACTCAAATGGCATCCCCACCCTACAAATCAACATGTGACCTACAACAGCTGGTAGAGGACCATAAAAAAAAACCCTGAAGAAAATTTAAAACAGGTGCAAACTCACCATAAATAGACTGATCAAACTTGCAACTGGTTTTTTTTTTTTTTTATAAAAACTGCCAAAATAAAACCACAGCTCCAGCACCCCTTCCACAAACTGCATTTAGTGTCAGACATGCAAATTCAACGGCAGTACTAACCCGTCTCCGCCTGGGGCTGCTGCATCTCCTGCTCTGTAACAGGGACAGTTTCTGTGGCTTCGCCTGGCATTCTGGACTGCAACAGAAATTGGCATAATACAAAGATCATTAGCTTCGCAAAAATGAAGTCAATAAGAAGTTTTAGTCTGTGCTTTATATTCATGTGGCTTTTACTATTCAAAATGAGCAGCACACTAGGCCTCTTCCGTCAGCTGGCTCACCGCCGCCTGAATTAAACCCAATGCTGTGCTCACATCTGATCAAGTATCGAGCTTGCATGATAACATTTCACAAGTGCACTGTACGGAAACGGAGTTTGATAAAAACCCAAGCACATAACATGGCCTATTCAGCATAACTACACAAAAGCATTGTTTTACAGGTGATGCACATTTCACGTGTAACAGAGCAGCACTGTCACACTACTGCTGTTTGAGAGAAGCACTGGCCAAGCGAAAACAAAACGCGGACAACGCTAGGAAATTCGTTTTTGACCTTTTATATTGTAACGCTATCATAGCACGTGTAACGTTATCTCTGTATTTTTATAAATTGTTTGTCTAATAGGCGAGATCAACTTTCCAATGATTACTGACGCACACAAAGCAAGTGCTTTTTGTCATTACATTAAAGACTTTAAACAAATATCGCTCTAGATGTTTATAAAACTATATTTCGTATGTTTTGAACGTTTCGTTAGGCACAAAGTCCTCGCATACAGCAACGCAGGTGCGTCTCGCTCCCCCATTTTGAACAGTCAGCCGGTTGTATTCAGCAAGATATTTCCTCAATAATCGAGCCAAATAAACAAATCTTTACCGTTCAGCACAGAGGAACACTAAAGCGTCAATACAAGTAGTAAATCAGAGGTCAAAAGCATCAAAACCGCTTTGGATGACAATAGATGTAACACAGAAGTACTCACTAGTTCAGGGAACAGAATCCAAGATGGCTGTAAGAGAGGGTTCCTGGCCTCCGCGTCGCTCTGATGTCACAGCTTTGCTTCCGGCGCCGACAGGAAGTTGCTTTTGGACACGCTCTTGCTGACAGAACTACATTATTAGGTTCAATTAAAATATTGTTTATGTGCTTGAGCTCTTCTATTTCAGCTCAGAACTGTTTGTACGTTACGTTGGACGTGATGGAGAATTCACAGTAACGTTAACTGTTTTAAAAGAAAGCATGTGCTTTTGTTTACAAAAAATAGCAATGCTATGCTAACCTGTATATTTTTTTGAAAACCTTTGCCTGACGTACTAATATTACGAGCAATAACACTTTCTTTTATCGTATGTGTTTAATGTGAGCAGGTTATGCAGGTTAAACTCCTTTATGTAAATACTGTTGTGCATAAACCGGGGGTTTTCAGTCTTTTAGGTCACGGAGCCCCAATTATCATCATCCTAAAATTTGAAAAGCAGCGATGTATTTTCATGTTTAAAGACCCAATTTATACTGTAAAAATAATATTATAAACGTGAGAATATAATTAGTATATTTTTCTTATTTTTACTCACTGTAGCACTGTTTGGTGTGTTTTTGTCTGTCTATCTATCTTATTTTTTTATAATTTATTTGATCTTACATTTGTTACACTGTTTTTCTAAAAAAATTTCCTTGGACCCCCTAGTACTCCCTTACAGCCTCCCGGGACCCTGGTTTGAAAACCCTGGCCTAAAACATTCTTCTGTTTAATTCCAGCAGAGAGATGTCTATGTCCCATTTGTATGGGCGTAGAGGTGATGAGGAGGAGGATGGTGTGGAAATTGAAAAGTTTGAGGTGTCTGAATGGGACTTGGCCAATGAGTTCAACCCAGACAGACGCAGACACAGACAGACCAAAGAAGAAGTGACTTATGGGATTTGGGCAGAGCATGACTCTGATGATGAGCGGCCCAGCTTTGGGGGGAAAAGGTATTTGGTTGTTGTTGATAATGTTTCAGCTGTCAAACAGCTAGAGACCTTGGTGAATAAGCAGTAAATGTCATTTTAAGACAATAAACAATATTGATATTTGTATCCACACAGATCGAAAGACTATTCAGCTCCTGTTAACTTTGTGAGTGCTGGCCTTAGAAAGACTGCAGCTGAGGAGAAAGTGGAGCAGGAGGGTTCAGATGACTCCAGTGATGGTGGAGATGCACCTCCTCCACCTCGCGCTGCTGTTCCCAAAAAACTCCAAACGGTAAAGTGAGATGCCAACACAACAATGTCTTTAGTTTTGAACGTCAGGTCCAATAATATGGGTCTCGATAAGATAAAAAAAAAAAAAAAGATTTTGAAAGTCTCTTAAGCTTGTTACGTAAGCTTGTTTTACTATTTAAAATGATTTTGTATTTTAAAATATTTAAAATGTAATTTATACCAAACCAAAGTTTAATTTTCAGCATCATTACTCCAGTCTTCAGTGTAACATGATCCTTCAGAAATCATTCTAATATGCTGATTTGGTGTTCAAGAAACATTTCTTATTATTATCAATGTTGAAACCGTTGTGCTGCTTAATAGTTTTGTGGAAATTCTGATCAATTCAATCTGATCTTTTTTTTGATCTGATCAGTTAATGAATGAATCCTTATAAATAAAAAGTCTTATTGATCCCAAATGTCTGAACAGTTGTGTAATATATGTATTTGAATTCTTTATTTTAGGGTGGGAGCTTTAAGACATCCCAAAGGTTTGCAGGTGGTATCAGAACAGGGCAGGACTTGGGATCCTGGGAGAAACACACACGGGGCATTGGTCAAAAACTTCTGCAGAAGATGGGCTACGTTCCAGGAAAAGGATTGGGCAAAAATGCTCAAGGTAAAACAACAGTCCTTTATTTCATACCTCAGTGTACTGGTTTTGCTGCATTTAGCTTATTGTGAATTATGTTGTGCATCATGTGTTTACTTGGGGATGGTGTTATGATGTGAATGGCCTCTTACGGAAATCTTTGTGTGCAGGTATTGTGAACCCGATTGAGGCTAAGTTGCGAAAGGGGAAGGGAGCAGTTGGTGCATATGGTAATGAGAGGACCCAGCAGTCCCTGCAGGATTTCCCTGCTGTAGACTCTGAGGAGGAGGAGGAGAATGTAAGTCAAAACTAACAAATTCTTGGTGGTTGCAGTGGATAAATCAAATTCAGATGCTCAAACAGTGTTGTTTAAAAAATACACATATCCAAATAAGCAATTTAAATGACATAAAGGGATCCTTTTGAATACAAAATGGATAGAACTCAATAGTTTTCTCTTTTGGTCAGGAAACAAAAAAAAGCATCTGACTGAACAGGGGGTGCATTTCCTAAAAGCAATTATGGTCACAAGATCTGTTGTTACCAACAGAGTTCAACGAAACTTGCGACCATAGTTGGCTATCAATGCTTTTTGGAAACGCGCCCCAGATCAGCAGCAGGCCAAATTTTTCATCACCTATCCTGTTTTCATATTGTTTGCTTAATTTTTATTTTTATTTTTAATTCCATCTTTGAAGGAGTTTCAGAGGGAGTTGGGGCAATGGCGTAAAGAACCAGGAATGGCAAAGAAAAAGCCCAAATATTCTTACAAGACTGTGGAAGAGCTGAAAGCTCATGGCAAACTGGCCAACAGGAGCATGAGCAGACCTGCTGGAGAACTGGCTCAGGTTAAGGTGAGAGTGTAAAACACTTAGAGTAATGAACAATAACCGTTTATATATCTCACAAGAAACAGTTGTTAACCTATCCCTCGTGTTTCAGGTGATCGATATGACAGGCAGAGAGCAGAAGGTGTATCACAGTTACAGTCATATGAGTCAGAAGCACAGTGTTCCTGAGGAGGCCCCTTTGAGTGTGAGCACACGAGAACAGAAGACCTCTGGCTTCTCTTTACCAGAGCTGGAACACAACCTCAAACTGCTCATTGAGCTCACAGAGCAAGACATCCTACAGGTACAGCACTCGTAAACTTGCACTAAATCAGCAGCAAGTTAGAAAAAGGATTTACGTAAAATAATATTAAATAAATTAAGTAATATAATGCTAATTATAAAATCATATGCAATATAAATATTGTAGTATTTGTAAATGTTGCTTCCTATGTGGTGCACCACGTGCAACCCTTCACATCTTATTTATCATATTTAAATGCATAATTCACTTCATAATAAATTCTTGTTTTGGTCAATGACAGAAGCAAACAGCCAGTTCTTGATTTTATTAGTTTCTGTTTGTGGGTTTGTGTTGTGTGTATATAGAGTGCACGACATCTGCAGCACGAGAAGGACACTGTGGTGACCCTGACCCATGAGAGTGACGCACTGCAGGTCAGGCTGGCAGAGGAGGAACAGGCTTTAGGTCGACTTGGTGATGTGATGAACCTGGTGGATCGTTTCGAAGCAGGCGATAAGGAGGGCAGCCCTGCACTCAGCCTTCAGGAGTGTGCTAAGATCTTCCAGCAGCTGCAGACAGAGTTCTATCAGGAGTACAAAACCTTGGGTTTGGGAGACCTAGCTGTGTCTGTTGTACATCCTTTATTGAAAGAGAGACTTCGCAGCTGGGAACCACTGAAGGTAAAAAATACTTTTTATACAGTATGTTTTATACCACTGTTCAAAAGTTTGGGCTCAGGAAGGTGTTTTTGTTCTTGAAAGTCTTGAAAGTATTTTATGCTCACCAAGGCTGCATGTATTTGTTAAAAAATACAGTCAAACAATTTATATTGTGAAATATTACAATTTAAAATCTAATTGTTTTCTAATTGAATATATTCTGAAATGCTATTTATTCCTGTGATGCAAAGCTGAATTTTCAGCATCATTACTTTAGTCTTCAGTGTCACATGATCCTTCAGAAATCATTCTAAAATGCTGATTTGCTGCTCAAGAAACATTTCTTATTATTGTCAACATTTAAAACAGTCATGCCACTTAATATTTCTTTGGAAACTGATACATTTTTTCAGGATACTTTGATGATCTTTGTTTATTAATCGTCACTGATTTTGTTATTGTTTCCACACTTTGTATAAGCTTTGAGTCTTATGAATTCTGCGATCTCTCTGTTTGTGTATAGGACTGTTCAGATGGTTTGGAGGAAGTTGGTCAGTGGAGGGCCATTCTTGAAAGCTCACAATCTCTTCATGGTGGTCCAGACACTTCTAACATGGACCCCTATCACAGGTAACCCATATCTGAGAGTGTGTATGTGGAGTGTCTGTAGAAGCAAATGACTCAAGCGCGTTTTGTGTGCAGGTTGAAATGGGAAGTGTGGGTTCCAGTCATGAGGAGCTGTGTGTCTCAGTGGCAGCCTAGAAACGTGGGGCCCATGGTGGACTGTGTCGAGTGCTGGGCTCCTATATTACCGTTGTGGATTCTGGACCATGTTTTGGAGCAACTTATTTTCCCACGACTACAGAGAGAGGTTTGTGCTGAACATATGACCAATTCACACTATACGTTACCTTGTCAAACCTGAGTATGTGTTATATGTAGATGAGATATATAGATATGTCTGAGTATAGTTAGGGACGCTTGACTGATTGCACAGACACTATTGGAAGAGAGCTGAACTGGATGATGACATCACTGAATCATCAATGAACTGACTTTAGTGGGACTCTGTCCTCTTGCATTATTGACAAACTATTTTCCTGTTTGAAACTAAAGCTGCTTTGACACAATCAGTGCTGTATAAAGTGCTATATAAATAAAGGTGACTTGACTTGAGATGTTACTTCTCTGACTGATTTTGGATAGGTGGACAATTGGAACCCACTGACAGACACAGTACCAATCCATTCATGGATTCATCCCTGGCTGCCTCTGATGCAAACCCGTCTTGAGCCACTGTACGCACCCATCCGCAGTAAACTAGCCTATGCCCTGCAGCGCTGGCACCCCAGCGACTCCTCCGCCAGACTCATTCTGCAACCCTGGAAAGATGTCTTCACACCTGGTGCCTGGGAGGCCTTCATGGTCAAAAATATAGTTCCCAAACTAGGTATGTGCTTATTTAGATTGTCAGTGTCAGACTTTGGGAGTCTGAGGGAGTCTCTGAAGG